TACTATATGCTGAAGCTAGAAGTTCGGATCAGGGCCCCTTCGGTAGGGATGGGGCGTGTGTGTGAGGTAGCTCGGTTGGCGGTGGACGCGGTGCTGCGCATTCGTGAGTCGGGGAACCTGGACTACATCCAGATCCTTCAGAAGCCGGGCGGCTCGCTGCAGGACTCGTTCCTGGAGGAAGGATTCCTGCTGGAGAAATCGTTCGGCGTGGGTCAGAAGCACGAATGGGTGCATCCGAAGATCCTGGTGGCGAACACGTCGATGGACAGCGACAAGATCAAGGTGGGTGTGAGGAAGGACTTCGATGGTAGATCAACAGCACGCGCGTGCGTGTGGACAGCATCGCGAAGGTGGGCGAGATCGAAGAGGCGGAGAAGGCGAAGATGCGCGCGAAGGTGAATCGGATTCTGGCGCACGGGATGGACGTGTTCATCAGTCGCCAGCTGATCTACAACTACCCCGAGCAGCTGCTGACGGACGCGGGGAAGGGGAGCATCGAGCACGCGGACTTCGAGGGCGTGGAGCGTCTGGCTGCGGTGCTGGGCGGTTTGGGTTGGGGCAGGCGTCGAGGGTAGCGGACATCGTGTCGACGTTCGACAGTCCGGAGAGCGTGCGTCTTGGCGAGTGCGAGAAGATCGAGGAGGTGATGATCGGGGAGGACAAGGTGCTTCGGTTCAGCGGGTGCAAGGGCGGCGCGGCGTGCACGATCGTGCTCCGCGGCGCGAGCTCCCACCTGCTGGAGGAGGCGGAGCGGTCGCTGCACGACGCGCTGGCGATTCTCCAGCAGACGCTGCGCCACCCCGAGCGAACGCTGGGCGGCGGGTGCGCGGAGATGGCGATGGCGGAGGCGGTGGACCGGCTGGAGCCCCAGGTGTCCGGGAAGAAGGCGCTGGCGGTGGCGGCCTTCGCGCGCGCGCTGCGGCAAATCCCCACGATCCTGGCCAACAACGCGGGACTGGACGGCGTGGAACTGACCGCCCAGCTGCGCGCGGCGCACCACGGAGGCGCGAAGAACGCGGGATTGGACATGTAGGGACGCAGAGAGAGCGGTGAAGGGTAGCGAGGGACGCGGAATCGGAGACATGGAAGCTCTCGGCATCTACGAAAGCCTCCAGCTGAAGAGACAGGTACTTCTCTCCGCCACCGAGGCCGCGGAAATGATCGTACGCGTCGATGAAGTGATAAAGAGCGCGCCGCGTGAACGAATGCCCGACGCTGGCAGACATTAACTCTTGGGTTATTTTGGTGGACGTTGTTTGAGAAACAAACAAGCAGGAGAGTAGAGTTCAGGCTCGGGGTAGTGCTGCCAAGGAAGCTGAGCCTTCTCCAAGCAGTTATCGATGGTGATTGTTCCTCAATGTTCACAAGCAGCATGAAATGGATACACTCACAAATTGGAGAGACAATATGGGAAGAACTAGTTCCAATTAGCGATGTTTCTTTAGGCTGTGAAACGACTGAGAAAGCACTATCTGGAGAGGTCTTGACTGATTATTGTTGGTTGAGAAGTACTCTTTTTTTGATAACATTATGACAAAGAACCAGTCTTCTTCAGAAGTGCATAATATACGTTTTAGTATTATTATGAGTGCAGACTCTATATCAGGTGTTCATCCCCTACAATATGGATGGGTTATTTATGTACAAATACAGTTCTATAATGATTCGGATAAGAAAAAGGGATACAGAAATTCTTTTATTCCTTTTTGTAAGTTCACAAATGTAGAAGGATTCTGGTTGAATTGGAACAAGTTAGAGAACGTGACGTACCTCTCTTGCCAAGTTTTAATATCTAGTAATATGTTTTATGATGGAGAGATAAGGAGTATCAAAAGAATTGATAGTACATGCCCAACGGATCAGCCAAAAGACATTAGTGTAGAAATGTGGAATATTGAGTAATAATGACATAGATTGAAGGACAGAGTATCTTCAGACTCGGAGTTGAACCTATATGGGAAGATCCTTTGAATACCAATGGTGGTGAGCTTCGAGTGACCTTGAATGGTATATTTTATATTTCAAATTAACTTTAGTCACTGCTCATAAAACGCTTGCAAAGTTTTGGGAATCAATTGTAGTCCTTATGATTGGTGGCAGTCTGATTGACTGTGAAGAGATTTGCGGAGCTCGTATTTTAGATAAAGTGAATCTATATTATGTTGTGTGATATGTAGAGCAAACCAAAGAGGAAGATTATTGAGTATCGTTTGGAGATCTGGTTCAAAGATTGGTCAAATGAAAAGTTTAGGGAAGATCTAAAGAGCCGTGTCCTCGATATTTGTAAGGAGTATGATTATAAACCGGACATTAGTTTCGTGAGGCACGAGAAACACAGATATATATGGATTGTTTGTTTCTCAAACAAGATAGTACGACTCAGGCTCGGGACAACGATCCAAAAGAAGTTGAGCCTTCTCCAGACAGTCATCAATCGTGATTCGCTCCTCAATGTTCACACGCAGCATGAAACGAATAAACTTACAAAACGGGTTCGAAAACGTGCAGCAGCGGAAGGTATTGTCCTTCGGGAAACTAATCTTCCCGTCCAGAATGGCCAACTTCATGATTCCCTCCACCGGGCTCTCAAACGGGCAGGTACCGAACGCCATGGCATAAAGCGTGCAACCCAGCGCCCAGACATCCACACCTCCATCCACTACGCCTTACCACACGCTTTCGAAGTTACAATTCATTCCAGGTCGCGGATCATAGAGCTCCGGAGCGCGATACGCCGCACTGCAATGCTTCTCCGCGTCCTCCTATCACTCATCGCTTCGCCATACACACACTTTCACATTGGCTGCGTCGCGTCGGTCTCGAATCGGCTGATCCAACACGGCCGCTGACCCAAAATCGATCAGCACCGCGCGCTCCTTTCCGTTTTTCTTCTCCAACATGATGTTGTGCGGCTTTATATCGCGATGCACCAGTCCTTTATCATGCAGCACCTTCACTGCGCGGCACGTTTCGATAAACAGCTGCAGACATCGTCGCTCTGTGAACGGCCACACGCGAATTGGATCCGCGTTGAATCGGTCAATGATGTCCCACACGCTTTCCTCGTAATACGGCGTCAGCAGCAAATACTGCGTCACTCCAGCCCTTGGCTCGAGCCCTCCCTTCTCCCCTACTCGTTCTGCTGCTTCGAAAACCCGAGTGCCGGCATGATGTTCGGATGCTTCAGCGCGCGAAGCAGTTTTACTTCGCGTTCGATCTCGCGAACGGCGTCGGGCGAGCTTCCGTTCATCACCTTCACCGCGTAGTTCCGTCCCGCATCGTCCTGCACGCGGTACACCACCGAGAATCCGCCTTCGGCCACTCGGTGCTACGCATCAGCCTCCATTCTCAATGCCACCTTGGCCACATATTCCTTCCCATCGAACACAAACCGCGTGTTCAGCGCGTATTCCTCGCCCAGCATCGAAGCGAACCCGCTCCACAGACTATTCCCCATGCGGCGCAGCCCGTCCGCTCCCTCTACGCCTCACTCGCTCCTCGCTCTCCCACTTCGCACATTGTCGTGCACCTCCGCCGAGATCTTGATCTGGAAAAAGTCGCCGATTCCGTCCAGCAGCGAGTCGATTCCATCGTTCTTCCGCGTACTCGTCGCGTTGCTTTTCGCGTCCTTCGCCGGCTCCGTGTCCAAGTCCTCGCCCGCGTTCGTGTCCCAGAAGCTCCCCGCGTCTTCCTGCCGCGGCCGCGCGGGCTGGCTTCGCTCGACCGGCTCGCCGAAGTCTTCGAACGACGCGTCCACGTGGGCTCGCGTGTGCGTTTTGGGGGCAGCCGTCGAGAGCCCCAGGAAATCGTCGCTCATCTCGCCGTCGTCCGCGTTGGCGTCGTCACGCGCCTGCTCCGCGTCCTCCGCTTGGCGCTGCTGCTGCTGCTGGCGACGCGAACTGCGGACGCGACCGCGGGTGGAGCGGATCGCAAAGGCGTCCTAGAGTCGAGGAGAGGGGGAGAGAGGACAGGCATGGGCTCGATTTTTCGCATTCGGCCGGTTTTGCGGGGATGGATTGTGGTGGAGGCGTGCGAAACCACTTCGCTGGAGATTTCTTGCGGTTGGGCTAGAGGTGGAGGGGGCGAAAAGAGAGAGTACTGGAAGGAGCAGAGTCGTCGTCACTCCAGCCAGTCGATGCTAGGAGTAAAGCGATAACGAGACATGGACTTTTCGAGGGAGATTTAGAACTATGCGTCGACGCAGTCTGTTTGGGAACATCATCCCAATCGTCCCAGTCATCTGTACCTAGGATTCGATTCACGGTCGAAACAATTACTCTTTTGAGTGGACCGAGTAGACGTGGTGGCCTTCATTTCTCTTGGAGACGTGCCCCAATCGTCATCCCAATCGTCCTCTACGTAGATCACGAAAATGGTAAAAACGACATACTTTTCGCCGATTTTGATGTAGAACGTCTTGAAACTACCTTCTTCTCAACAAAGCTGTCTTCATCATCGGACCAAGTGTCCACCACTATACAATGAGTCTGCACTCGTGTTTCTCCTTCTTACCTTTCTTTGTGGGTTCTTCGTCAGACCAGGCTCCAGACCAGTCGTCGTTCATTCGATTATTCCCAAATATTGGTTCATTCCAGTTCACACTTTCTAAATCGTGGGATCCCACTGTTTCAAACAAACAAAACTATGACTCCAATCGATTATTTAATATAATGTTTTTAGACTGACAGTATCCCAGAATATTCACAATCTCTTCATTCTTCATCACAGGACGTAATACACGAATGGCATCGGTCCACAACGCTTTCGAGTACGGACAGCGATTAATCGCATTGTAGAAAACGTGCTTCGCATTGTTATAACTTCCGCAGTAGAATTCAAAGTAAAGGAAGCTTCTCCACAAAATCACGCTGCTTCGTAGATAAGGGATTTTTAGTAGGCGATTATACAGCGCTAGTGATGATAATTTTGAGAACGACTCCTACATCGGATGTAGTATGTATCGGGGAGCTGTATGGTTTGATTGGGAGCCGTGATGAGATATCCCTTTTTCCGCAGTAGAATCAGCGTATTCAGGTAAATGAACAAAAATCCCATGATTTCGGGAGGTTTGTTCTGTGGAAGAATAAACGAGTTCTTCATTCCCCTCACGTACGCGCTGAAATACTCGCGAAGAGGCTAGTTGGAAGCAAGAACCGATGCCTACTCCCACGAAAAGACTTTCGTTTTCATGCTTGCACATCACAGCGAGGAAGAGAACGGAACTGGGACAATCACGCAGCGAAATGATGATTTCTTTGCGAAGCATTTCCTTCGGAACGACCCAGTTCTGCATAATTGCTTCTGTGAAGAATTGGTGCGGTTCGTATGTGTTCTGAGCGCGGACAAGCGGACTATTGAAAACGAATTGGAGCAAAGTGTGATTGTAGAGCAGTGACAAGCGAGCTGTGTGGATCTTTTCCACCAAGAAATTCGTGGGCTACTCATCAATCATTCTATAAAAAAAGCGGATCTACATAATTCTCATCCTCCGAATTCGATAGGAAATGGAAAATCAGTTCTCTTGAATCCAGAAGTCCGGGAAGCCCTCGACTTGCATACGCGACGATCATCGAAAGCGCTGCGATGTCTCCAAACACACAATACACCTCTGAATGAATCTTTGATCAACGCCCTCTCACCTGAAGCCTCTGCGAACTCCGTTGCCTTCAATCGATCGCTTTCAATACTCATCAAATACGCCAGCTTTCGCTCCAAAGTATCGCTATCGCGCGATACATCATTCAGCAGAAACCGTTTCATTTCCTCGACGATTTGCGCTACAGTTTCGATCGGCCAAAGCTGCACCATTTCCACTCTTCCTTCCACTTGGGTTGGTACGAGAATCGCTTGATTTACCAGCAGAATGCGAACCAAGCGATAGACCACGCTGGGCAAATAGCGCTGCGCGTTGCTTCCTAAGTGGTCGATTTGAGCCAGCGTCCCTCGAGTCACACGTTCGGCTTCTTGGAGTCGGCCTTGCCGAAGATGGCAATCGATGTAGTTTAAAAAGAAACGGAGATCGTTTCGGAATTGGGGAAATTGGAGATACCCTTTACTGAGTTGAAGGGAAAGTTCTTGCTGTGCTGAATCGAGAGCTGTTGAATAAAAGGAAGAGAGAGGAAAACATACAGTACTGCGCGAGAACAGACTCGAAATAGCTGTGAGACAGCAAAAGAGACGAGGAAAGCGGAGGAGGCATATGCGAAATGTACCATCGAAATAGATTTCGAATCTATTCCTTGATTCCATTTTTCCAATTCACACAAAGTGTTGTCGACGCTGATCTGCAAAGACCTCCTTCGATAAAAAAATCGGAGTGGATTCGGTGAGTTCCATGTTCACGCCTCTTTCGGAGTGAAGCAATGGGATCCACCCATCGTCGTCGATCACCGAAATCTCGTGGACTCTGCGATACAGCGGAAAGGAATGCATGCGAAGCGTCAGTCCGAGATACTGAAGAAGCAGCTCGAAAAGATCTTGATGCAACGCCGGCTAAAACGATTAGAAATAACATGAAGGACAAAATACTGTTAGATTGATCATCATGGGTTTGATCTCCGGATATACAAGGGAGTGTGATGTGTTATCGGATACTTCCATCGAATTCGTGAGCTCATCGAAATCTTCTTCGCGTAACCAGCTACAATCGAACCATTTCATTCTAAACTACTTGAGAAAGAGATCGTCTTGACTGATCTGCTGCACTTTCACTTTCGATTCCTTCTTTTCTGTCTGCGTGTCGGTAGACACTTCTCGAATTGCGTTGAGAATTCGCGCGTAATAATCCTTTTCGCCGCTTTGCTTTGGAATCGGAATTCGATATCTGCACATCACTTCAAATCCATCATTCCGACCCATGGACTCGAGAATACACCATCTGAAACTCGTTCGAATTCACTGCCGTTTCGTCATCTCCCGCTGTTTCTTCCGCCTTTTCGCTCTGCGCATTCTCCAGTTCCTGGTCGGTTGGGATGTGACATGGCCACGGAGTTAATGGGAATCGATCGATCACTACGCATTCAATCCCCCAACCACGCAAAACGCATCGAGCTTCGTTCATTGAACGCATCGATCTTCGTTAATGGATCGTTCAGCGCTTCGAAAACTTCATAACTACTGTGATCTTCTTGTACTTCGGACTGCTTTCCAATTCGTCGCAACGCTTCCTGCGTCCAATCTGACCAGCTTTGATATCCATCCGTGCCAATCAAGTGATCGCTGCAGGCTACCACGTAGGATTGGAAGAGTTGAAGCTTGTAGGAAAGCGGCTTATGCTTCGTTAACGCTGGAGGCTACAATGAAACGATCAACCATCGAGTACGTTGAGATTAAACTCGAACAATAACGAAAGTAGCTCCAATCCCCTCGCGAAACTTCCACGCGATCGCTCGACGCAGCACCACTTGAAATAAGAACAAAAAAATGAAATAGAAATACGAAGTAAATGACGGCGAGTTGTTGGCGTTGATAGTCGGCAATGGTCAATTCGCTAGCTCCAGTTCGAATGAGTCTTTGATAGTAGTGATTCATGCGAGTGAGGATGTCTTGAAAGAGCGCGAGCGAAGCTGCGTACTATGGATCAATCAATAAGAGGAGAAAGAAACGTCATAAGAAGAGAGATTGGAGAGTTCGAATTTGAGATAGGAAATGATGATGTCTCCGTTCTCGATGGATTCGTCCAGCAATCGAAGCAGACGCGAATGAATCGTCTCTTCGCCTTCCAGCTATCGTGAATTCGATTCGAAAAACACACTTGAATCGCGACGTTAAAACGAGCATTCACCAATTTGGGTTCTTTCGGGATCTTTTTCAACGCGTCGCCCAAAAGATCGAACTGCATTTGATACATACTCATCTACACTCCATTCATTCCATCACAATCTACGCGTTCTTTCTTTGTCTCGGCTTCCTCTGCAAAGAGTCCATACAGCTGAACGTAATTCATCCAGGCGTCAACGCTGGTAGGATTCGCATCCACTTCTTTCATGCACTGTTTGATTTGTTGTTCGCGGACTTCGACGCGACTTACAACGCCCATTCCTTCGAGATCGGTCGAAATCGGAATGAATCTACGCATTAAAAAGGAGGTTGAAAAGCACCCAAAGGCGTTGCTTCCATTCTCTGAATCTTGCAAGAGATTCACTCGAGGTCGTCTCGAGTCTGTATAATCCACTCCGATTCCTCGTGCGCGATTTTCTAATCGAATTCGGTCATAGGCAAAGCTTCGAATGATCGAAGAGAAGTCAGCCATTTTTGTCTAATCGAAATAGGAAGAAGACAATTCATTGTGTACGTCTTGGAAATAGCGTGTGGGTTTCTTGTATCGCGATAAACGAAGCATTTCTTGAGCGTAGGCAGAAAGCATTTGGGTGCCTAGAACGATTCTCGGCTTTTTGTATCTAGATGAATTCAAAGCACTCACTATTCATACATGCAAACATCTCCACTGTACATTTGATCGACCACCAAATTATCCTTGTCTCCTTTTCGATCTTCGAAGCACAGGGCTAATTCGTACAATATCAATATGAATACCCTCATCTCCATCTGGACTCGGTGCTGGTTCTGTTGCTGCCTCCCTTTTGGAAGAATGTGTATGGTGATGTGTTTTGACTTCCCTTTCTTTTTCTTCCCTATATTTGAAATCTTGCTTCTACACAATACTGCTTTCCAATTAAGCGTAATAGCTGCTCTTCATCTCTAGAAATGATCAAAAACAAGCATCTTTTCACATTTTCGGTAATTCCTTATCTGGAGATATTTCAACATCAGGAATATCTGAAATTCTCAATTAGAAAATAGAAAAGCTACCTTCCTGAGGAAGTTCAGCAATCTCTTGCTTATTCTGTGGTTTATAGCTCGAACCGGCAGTTAACCACGAAAGATTCTAAAATGAATCGGAACAAGAACGAATTACGGGAGTACTCATAGAAAAGTGAGTTTTTTGTCACTATTTAGCCAAGTTTCTAGAAAATGTTCCTTCAAAATTTCGATTTGGAAACGAACCCCCCAGGAGATGACGAAGGCTTGGATAACGCTGATGCTTTCCAAATGGATGTTGATTTGGGTAATTTGAGCAGTGGCATAAGCGATAATAGATCTCTCGGATGATGAAACAGTTGATCAAAAAGACACATCTGCTGCGGATAATTCTGAATCAACGGACCATTCCGATTTGATTGGAGTTCTTCAAGAAAAGGAGAATGAGATCAAATCACAGTCAAGCGAGATACAGAGATTAAAGCTACTGAACCGTGATTTGGAGTCGGAGGTAGTATTTTTATATTTTTTTGATAAATTAGGTAAATAAATTATCGGCCGAAGTAGAATCACTAAAAAAGGATGATAAGCAAACACTTCTTCAGGAAAATCAGCAATTGAAGGCTGAGAATGAGATGATTCAGAATGGTATGCTTGTTATGGATGATTGCTAATGAATAGATCGCAAAGTGGCCTATGGAAAGGTAGTAGCGTAGGATTGTTTCTGAAAATAGATTCAAACATACAAAACGAAATTGGAAAAGGCGAATTCAATTGTAATCAAGGCTACAGCAATGAAGCACGAGTACGAGAAGCTGAAGGTTGAGATGGAAGAGAAGGAAAAAGAGGTAATCGTAATTTCTGTAATGGTTAATAATAGCTCGAAGCGTTGCGGGGTCAATCAGCTTCTTCGACAGCTGGTCAATCATCCGAGGTGAAAACCCTTCGTTTTCAGCTGGATGAGAAAGAAAAGGCGTTTTCTGAAGAGCGATCGAAGTTGATAGAGCAACTGGAAAGCGTGGAACGAGAAAAGGGAGAGCAGGAAGAGAAATACCAGGAAGTAATGATGAAATCGAAGAATGCTTTAGAGGAAATGAACAAGCGAATTGAAGAAATGGAAAATGATACTGAGAAAGAAGAATTGAAGAAGAGAATCGAAGAATTGGAGAAAGAAAGAGAGAATCCTAGTGAAATGGATTCAGAGAAAGAAGGATTGAAAAAGAGAATCGAAGAATTGGAGAAAGAAAGGGAGAATCCTAGTGAAATGGATTCAGAGAAAGAAGAATTGAAAAAGAGAATCGAAGAATTGGAGAAAGAAAGAGAGAATTGTAGTGAAAATGATTCTGAAAAAGAAGAATTGAAGAAGAGAATCGAGGAGTTAGAGCAATCAGCATCGAACGAGCAATCACTTCGTGACCAAATCGATTCTCTCTGGAAAGAATCCAAAGCCCTCACTGAGCAGCTTTCCTCCCTCCAAAACACCCAACTCGAACTAGTAAACGAAAAAGCGATTCTCGAAAAAGAAAACCAACAACTCACCACCGCCCTCTCTCATCTCAACGAAGAGAACGCCGATCTTTCTCACCAACTCTCCGAAGAACATCGCTCCTCCGCAGCCCTTCAGCAAGAACTCAGCGAGAAAACGCTTTCCCTGCAGACATTGCAAACATCGTTAGAAGAGGCTGTCGATACACTGAGCACCACAAAGCAGCAGATGACATCGGAATATTCGTCTCAGTTAGAGCAGAAGGAGGACGAAAACCACCGGTTGACCATCGCTCTCACAAACATCAATCGCGAATTGGAAGCCACACGCGGAGAAAACGACGATCTCTCCGCTCAGATCGCTTCACTTCAAAAGAAAGCACAAGAGCAGGACGAGCAAATCACGAAAGCTGAAAGCTCGGTGGAAGCTCTCACTGCGGAGGTCGAAAGACACAAGCGATTGGAAGCCGATCTTCGGCAACTGGTCGATCAGGGAAATCAGCATTACGAGGAAATGAAAAGCAAAGTGGCGCAGAGAGACCAGCAGGTGGAGGAGCTGAAACAGCAGTTGGCTGAGCGTGAAAATGAAATGAATGAAGGCGAAGGCGTGCGTGGACAGCAGGCGGAAGCGCTCGAGAAAGTGAAGGAGAAATGTGATGCGTTTGAGAAGGAGTTGCAGGCCAAGCAAGAAGAGTTGGAAGAGAAGAACCGAATGCTTCAACGCATGTCGCAGTTGGAAAACGAGCTTAAGGAGCAGTCCGAAGCCTACGAAACGCTGAAGCAGGAGGAGGAAACACGTCGTCGAAAGTTCGTATTAGTCAAAAACAAGTACGATTCCGAACTGAAAGCGGCGCAAGACCAAATCGCGCAGCTTCAGCAGGACTTAGAAGGCTCCGTAGCGAACCAAGAGCAGCGCGCCGAGCTCGAGAAAATGCGAGAACTCGCAGAGAACCAGTCCAAACAATTGTATGTCGTTTAGGAGAGAATAAATGTGAATAGAGCGGAGCAAACCAGCCAGCTTTCACTGCTTCCGCAGCTTCAGAGCGAAATCGATGAGCGAGATCACGAGCTTGCAAATCTTCGAAACTCGATTTCGATTCTGGAAACGCGCTTCGGCGATTCGCAGCAGCGGTTAGAAAGCGTAGAGAAACAGAACGCACAGATCAAACTGGAATACGAGCAGAAACTCGAAATCGCTCGCCAGGACGTTTCGCAAAGCACGCGATCGGAAGTTTTGTCGCTGCAGGAAAGCAACGAGAATCTGAAGATGCTGCTCAGCACTGCGGAGAAGAAATACACGCGATTGGCCGATCTGAACAGCGAGCTGCAGAAGAAGCTGGACACGATGGAGCAGCAGAAGCGACTGCAGAACGATCAGATGTGCGGATGGAGACAATGGTTGATTGTAGATCGATCAGCATGCGAAACGGACGAATTCAAGCGCCGGAAATGGCGAACGAGGCGGAGGACGACCAGACGCCGTTGCTGGGAACGGTAGGAGACGAGGGAGAGGGAGGTGAGTCGTAGGCAGATGAACCGTTGAACGTGCGGCTGCGATTTGGGTATAATAAAGTGAAGCGGTCGTTTTTGCGATTGCCGCAGGATATCCAGCGATTATTGTGGATCTATCTTATCTCTCTACATGTGCTTCTTTTCATTGCTATTTTAAAATAAGTGTTGAAATTGTTTGTTTGCAAAAAATGGCTGCGCGTTTGAACGAAAAGCTAGAAATCTACTGGGTTAAAACAGAGAATTATCCCTGGTGGCCGGCACAAGTAAATGTCGATTTGGGGAATGATGTTCAGCTCGTTTTTTCGGAGAAGGAAGCTGAAGCAAATGAAAAAGAAGGTAGTGGAAAAGACGGATGCACAGCAGAAAGCAACATCCGAGTTCGATTACTGAGTATTGATAAAGAGTATGCTTACTCAGCAATTTGGTATTCTAGAGTCACAGTCAGCAATCCAGCGCTAATACTCCCATTCAAAAATCATGTTTTCGAGTTGAAGGATGTGGAACTCTCTCTACGTGACAGTTTTTGGTATATTTATACTCTCCAAATAACATTTAGCAGAGCACTGGATTTCGCAAACAACATTATCAACCATCAGACCAATCCACAAAAGAATGGAATCATCCAATCCAAGGTATTCTAACTGCATGTCCTACCACACAGAAACGCGATGATTACATCAGTTGGGACGAGTATTTTATGGGACTTGCTTGTTTGAGTGCCATGCGAAGCAAAGGTACGTTTTTCTGCAATTTTTATTAACTTCTAGATCCCAATACGCAGGTTGGTGCTTGGTAGTCTCTCTCTGTATCTCTCTCACAAACAGTATTGTCAACGCATACAATCAAATTGTTGGAATCGGATACAACGGATTTCCTCGTGGATGCAGTGATGATGTTTTGCCTTGGAGTCGAGAGGGCGACAACGAGCTGGACACGAAGTACATGTATGTTTGCCACGCCGAGATGAATGCCATCTTGAACATTAATACTGCGAATGCGCGAGGGTGCAAAGTGGGTCAAGAGATTGCTCATAAACTGCAGATGTATGTGTCGCTATTCCCATGCAACAATTGCTGCAAGATGATCATTCAATCAGGCATTGTGGAGGTTATTTATCTGAGAGACAAGTATTACGACTCGAACATGTCTGTAGCTTCTCGTCGCATGTTTGATATGGCGGGCGTGAAGTATACGGTCTACAGCGGCAAGCGAAGTGACATTCTCATTCGACTTTGTGAAAATGATTCTCATTGGATTGTTTGTTCGTAAAATTGATTTTAGAGAGGAATTTGATTTTTCGGAAGCGTCTATAATAAAGTCCCGACAAAAGAGAGAAACGTGGAAACTTGAGGTGTTTAAGATAATATCCAAAAGAGGATGTAAGATTGAAAACGTGCTATTTTAATGTATAGTAAATGGAACCTGGAGGCCTTGCTTCCAATTCCGCTTCCACTTCCGCTTCTGCCTACCGGCATGATCCCATAGGAGGAACGGATGATGTAAGTCTCGTGCGAACATGCCATCTATGTGGGAAAGCTACTTGTGGACAGCGAAAAGGAAGAGTTCGCTGTGCCTACTGCAAACGTATATTCTGCTTACAGCAACTGTTCAAAAAATTTAAAATAAAAGCTAGTGTAGAGGATAAAGATTTTAAGTGTCCTCGATGTCAAGGTATTTGTTGTTGCGTTTCAAATTGCCAACGCCCCCCTCCCCATGTTCACTGCAAAGTGTATAAGGTGCGACAAAACAAGAAGAAGCCGGTCACTGCCCAAACCGTAGATTTAAAACAATCTCGAATTCCTCCCCCGCTCACTGTAAAGACGGAACCGCCACCTATCGATTCGTCGTTACCCTCAATTCAAGCTTTTTCGCCTTTTCCAAATCCTAGCCTTTCGGCTCAAGATCTCTATTCTGAGACAATGAACGATAGTGTTCAGCAATCCTACACGTTCGGATCCTCCGCAGTGCCTGGCTGTAAATCCTCGACTCATGAACTCAAGTCTAGTGCAACATAGCGACTGGCTGACTCAGCTCAATCTCCGTCTGCTCGACAGCAACGACCCATACAGCATCTCTCAGCCATTTTTCACATCTTCTGTGGAGGCCGACGACACGGAGATGGGTATTTTTTTCTCATTTTGCTGGATTGACGTGTAGAAGTTCAGGGCGATCAAAAGTTCGCTGATTCGCTTCGACGCTACATGAACCAGCGTCCCGATATGAACTCTGTAACGCGTCACACCATCATATCCTCTTGTGATCACCAAAGCTTGCCGATTTGTTCCTTCATTCGCACGAAAACCAGCTCATTGCCGCTGCGAAACGCCTTCAAATGAAAGCAGCCAAGAGCGATTTGGTGTTCCGCATGGTGGAATCGTTCAATCGCAACACCGTCCAAGCCACCGTCACATGGCATCTCCACAATCAAAAAGGACTTATGGGTATGGAAACAGTGGAGATCGTAACGTCCAGAGCGATCGCATTTCCTGAACGGGATTCCTGGGTTCTGGACGATCAATCAGTACTACGCTTCGGTTCTTTTTTCGCTCGAAACCGACGGCACGCGCTACGAAGAGCAGAAGGACGAGCGTCGAATCAGTAGGCCTGGTAGGAGCGAGTGAGGGCGAGAGATCACCTTCTTCAACACGAGCGCGGTGAAGGACATTCCCTCGCTGTGCATGTGCATCGCGCTGCTGGACTCGCTGCTTCGCAAGTGCGCCGATGTGCAGTGGGAAGAGAGCTGGACCGAGGAAGGCGTGAGCTGGAAGAAGCCCGAGTATATCGATAAGTAGGCGGTGGAGGAGAGCGAGCACGCGTAGAAAGCAGTTGATGATGATGATTGAGAAGGGAGAAGAGGCGCAGAGAAGACTGACGCATTCCGAGAATCAGTGCAGGATCTGCGTGTCGTACTCCAGGAGCTCGGCAGGGATGAGTTTCGAGAATCTGCCACTGATGAGCTTGATTCTGAAGAAGGTGACGGTGGACTATCCGCAGGTTATTTATTCTTTGGAGCGGATTACCTGCGATGATCAGCGTGTGGTGTTTATTATTTTATTTAGCGAGGACTTGAACTGGGTGAGGATTCTTAACGGGTATGAATCCAATATCGAGGTTTGCCGCGAGGAAAATTTCATGATCAATCGTGTGAATTCACAACATGTTTTACTTGATATATAACATATGTTTGTTGAAATCTTGCATGTATCATTGTGTGAAAATTGCGATTATCATACATCTCACCCAGTATCGTAATGTTTTGTATGTCTTTTTGAGGAATATAATGTATAGGGGGTGTAGCTCAGATGGTAGAGCGCTCGCTTAGCATGCGAGAGGTAAGGGGATCGATGCCCCTCTCCTCCATTATTCTTTATTTTAAGAATTTCACTTCCTATTCCTATTTTTCATTTTAAAACAATTTTCAATGTCTCTGAAAGAGTTAGAAAGTGGTATCCAAATGGACAATGATAGTGAAGAGGATGAGGAGATTTACATCCCGATTCCTTATCGTTTTCACGATCTTGCCCAGCAGGGAGAATCCCAATTGCTGGATGATGAAATCAAGAGATACATGAGACGGGACTACAATCCAAACGTATGGGATCCTAGTTTTTTGGTGAAGCGTAGGAAGTCGTATTGAGCTTGGATCAAGAAGATAGTCTTGGTTATACTCCACTCCATTTAGCAATTTTAAGCGGTAGTGTTGACACGATTCGTGTGTGTGTTGATAATGGGGTGAATTTAGAAGCGAGAACAGAGGGAGTTCCTTACTCCATATTTTTATTAAACGTGGAGGCAGTCAAAAGTCTCTACAAGGACAAATTGTGGGAAGTCCTTCAAATGCTTGTGATTCCAGAGAAAGCAAGCACCTACAAGGATCGTCTAGACTGTACAATCGCGCATATTGCTGCCCAATTCAATATGGTCAGCGTGTTGGAGCAAATTCTTACCACCTATCCCTCTCTGGTCGATATGGTTGATTTGGAGAAGAACTCGATTCTGTTCTCTGCTTGTCGCACGTCCCATGTGTTTCACACCAACTCATGAATAGAAACAGTGTGTCTACGGTTCAGTATTTGATGGACACGTATCCCCAAGTGGCCGAGCTTCAAAATCTTCGAAACCAGAACGCTCTACATATCTGTCTCGAGTCCAACGCCCTGGAATGCTACCAAACACTCATTCGCTGTCGCTCTCCCTCTCTGGACATCCGTTCCGAAGATAGTTTTGGCCAGATTCCAGTGAATTTATGGAAGAAAGTGATGGAGGAGAAGCGAGAAAGGAGTTGATTTTTATTAATGTATTGATCGATAGACTGCTTTGGTTTCCCTCACGAAGAGTTCAAAACTTTGATTCTCTTCACGGAGCCTTATACTGACCACCAAACCTGCGCTGAACCTCCTTCCCATTCCGTTCTTTTTTGTGTGTTTGTGTTCATTTATAGACGAAACTCCCGCCGGAACACGTGGAACGCGCGCGCGTTCTGCTCTCCCTTGAAAAAGGAGGCAGTTTGCGAGTGAGTTCGCTGCAGGACCGCGTGGAGTTCCGCAGTGAAGACAAATTGGCGGCAATGCCAACCATTCTTCGCGTCCACGACGTCAATTATGTCATGAAACTCATCAACGGATGCCAAAAATCGAAGGTTTTTTTCGTATTTTCAACTCATGCAGCAAGAAAACCGGCTCATCTCGCTCGACATCGACACCACGGTCAGCAGCCAGAGCTTCTTCCAAGCGCGTCGCGCTGCACAGACGGTCTGTTCGGCAGTCGACGAACTTTATCAATCTTCGCTCTCGAATTCCAAAATTCGGAACGTTTTTTGTGTGGTTCGACCGCCGGGTCATCACATTGGAACGGCGGGAGCGGTGAAAAACCCGAACAATCCGTCGGTTACGCAGGGATTTTGTTTGTTGAACAATGTGGCGATCGCTGCGGCGTATGCACGAGCGATGTACGCGAGGTTCGCTCGGATTGCGATCGTGGATTTGGATATTCATCACGGAAATGGAACGGAGGATTGTGTGCTGCATTTGAATCCGTGCCGAAGCGTAGCGACATCGATGATGGAGAATATGGAGATAAAGTGGGATTGTGAGAGAAATGAATGAATGAATAGAATGGAGAGCGTTCAGTATAAACCGTGGAAGGATGAAACGGATGCGCAGAATGTGCTCTTTGCAAGTCTTCATGGATTTGGAAAATTGGAGAAATCCAATGATTTCTTCTATCCTGGATCGGGATTGCATCGAAATCGAGTGGAATTTGCTGACAAGGAAACTTCCGGAATTCCCATTTTCGTCCCTATTTTTGCGATTTTTTAAAATAGTCGCCTACAATTATTGACGCGTCGCTAAGCAAAAAGCAAGCCGCTTATCCTTACTATTGGCGTGAACACTTGCGCGAGAACGTGTTTCCGCAGCTCCTCGCGTTCCATCCCGATTTAATCTTCATCTCCTTCGGTAGTTCCCCGTTTCCCCGATTACTCTCAGGATTCGACGGTCACGCGAACGACCGCATCAACAACGGCTTCGGCGGCCTGACAGAATTCGACTTCGCCTGGGCGACGCGTGAAATCGTGGGGATTGCGAACGAAGTGTGCGAAGGCCGCGTAATCAGCGTGCTAGAAGGCGGATATAACGTTCTGGGCGGAGGCTGCTCGCCGTTCGCGCTGTCGGTGCGAAGCCACGTGGAGGAATTGACGCGGAATTTCTATGAGAAGGGCGAGAAGGAGCGATGGGAGAAGGAAGTGGGAGAGAAGGAAGGAAGTGAGAAATAGAGCGAGATGGAAAGAGAAAGAATGGAGGAAAGGATGAAAGAGAAGGGAGAGAGTGTGGAGAGTGTGAAGATCGAGAGAGTCGAAGAAGAAGAAGAAGAAGAAGAAGAAGAAGAAGAAGAAGCGTTTGATTTTGGAGAAATGTCGGAAGAGGAGGAAGAGAAAATGGAGAAACCGGAGAAACAATGGGAGGAGGAGAGAGAAGAATTGAGGAAGGGAAAAGAAGAAACGAATTTCACCACACTGAAAATGGAAGAAGAGAACGAGAATGAAGAGGATGAAGAGGATGGAAGTGAAGGTATGCCGAAATGAAAGAAAGAAGTGATTTGTAGACTTGGAAAACTACGAAATGCCCGAAATCGAAGCAGGCGAAATGGACAAAATAGAAGATCCGCTGGCGAATGAAGAGCCAGTGGAGGGAATGCGAAGACGACGCCATGCAAAGGTTGACTATGTGGCGTTAGAAGCGCAGCTACAAAAGGAGGAGGAGGAAATGAGGAAAAAGAAGCAGAAGATGAATGAAGAATGAAAATCTTGTTTGTTTTAGCAAGCACTTAGAGTGATTTTTGAAGGGTGTGTGGATTGGGAAATAGGTATAAATGATGAAGTCGGATAGAACTGCTAAAACAGTCGATACATAGTGTATGAGTAGTACAGAATTGACGAAGGAAGTTCGAAAGTTGGTGATTGATTTACTCGACCACTTTCGCGCCCTAACGATAATTGTGACTACTCTGTCGGTCGAGAAGACCTCTGGATCTATCCAGAGTCCATGGAAACATTTCTGCCCCTGGTGCCGTGTATCGGAAAAGTCAGGTTTGTTGGTGAATCGAAAATACGTCTTGACCGTTACGCTTTTCATCCTCATTTATAAACTACTATGACCAGCCGCGCTTTTTGCGTCAGGGACGGTTTATCGTTTTTCATTCCTCTCGTTTATTGTAAAGAAAACACATTATTCCATACTCATCCATGGTTCACTTATTAACAGCACGTTCGAATGATCAACCCTTACAAGTTCAAGGATCCTTGCATCACTTCAATAACTGTGCCATTTCGACCCAATCAAGTCATGTAGAACAGTGTGGGAACGACTCAAGTCGTGACGAACTTCACTTTCATTCGTTTCAACCCAGTCTATACGAATTTGCCATAGGTCGAGTTTGCCAACAGCTTGTACAGGTTCTTCTCCACAGTGGTCTTGGACTTCGCTCGTTTCTCACTCAGCATGTTGACATACTCGAAGATGAACGGTGCTTGCTTGAATCGAATGATGTGGTGAATGTGTGTGACACGATACCCCTGTTGAATGCCCAGTTGCAACAGTGAGTAATGCACGAGATACTTGTGACGAGGTACAAGATCGCAGATGAGCTTCGGTGTATTCACCTCTTTCACTTTGTCCACAATGTCGTTCTTCTCAGCGTACTTCTTGATTCTATCGGAGTACATGCCCGCCTTCTGTACGGGGAAGAATGGCAGATCATTGAACTTGTCGTGCAGCTCCACTGGTGCCTCGATATCACACTCGATGATGAATCCATACTTACCGAACGTCTTGAGTGATTGAACCCACCCATTCGGGTCACGATTGATCCTCTCCATCACTTCTCGTCGCTCGGGTACACCCACCAACTCATAAGGCATCATTCGATGCATGGCTCCACCATACAGGTTGTTGGCGTCCAGGTAGTAGATGCCTTGGGACGACGTTGCTTGCTCCTTGTTGTCAATGTTGACCTTGGCATGCCGTTTCACGATCTGTGTGATACCTCCTCGCAGGTTCTTCAACAATCGCATGAAGTCATCGATATCATTTGTTTCCATCAATCGAATTCCCTTGCTCTCATAGAATTCACCCATGCTATTCAAGAACACATTCACCAGTTGTTTCTCGGCGAGTCCCTCATTCGCGTTGATGCGCATGATGTACTGAGCCCATTTCCTTGCGAGGGTCATGAGGCTACTCTTACTATGATCACCCTCCATTGTGACCTTCAAGAAGAGCGAATAGGCCATTTGTGGTACTGTGATGTAATTCATTGGATCAACACCGAATGCCTTCAGTGTGGTAATGCGGAAGTGCTCGAATGCATCAGCCATGAGAGTAACATCGAGTACATTGTACAATTCGTAGTATTCACCCCATGTCTTGATATCGAATGTCTTCCACAGCTTCACCATGTGATCATATTCGTCTTGGGGCATCATCTCTCCCTTCATATCATCAATGCATTGCTCACGAGAAGGAATGACTGTATTGTTCAATGACTCGTACGACTTGATGAGACTGTAGAACATGGGTTCTTTCCGTGCCAACAAATCGATGTATTCGTCACTCCATTGCTTGCCTCGAGACTCACAGTACTTGCGTAGTTGGTCTTTGGTGTGCACGTACAAATCGAGGTTACCTCCAAGTGTCTGAGCCACAATGGAACGCAGTGGACTGCTGATGAGCTTCAACGAGTCCTTGAATTGAATGCCATTGTACTCGATCTGCATCTCCTTGTCTTCGGTGGTTGGAATGACCTCGAGGTCCCCAGGCATTGTGGCGATGCGCTTCATGATGAATGTGAAATCGTAGTGCGATCCATTGTGGAAGTAGACTGGCAAACGATAGTTCTTCTTGTTGAATGAGAGTTGTAGGTTACACTTGGTGCAACAGGAGCAGATGTACTGTCCGGCTTCGAAGTGGCGTATCTCTCCCTTTCCTGTGGTGTATTCACCTGCCACATGTGCATGATGTCTCACCTTGCCGTCCTCCAGTTTCTTGTGGCAGAAGGGACACACGGTTGCTGAACGAAAGTCCTTCTCGACCTTCGATGTGCTCGCCAATGGCAATTCATCGAATAGATATGTTTTCACACTCTTGCAATAGTGTGAGATAGTCCATGAAAGGGCGAAGATCTTCTTCGCTCTCATATGGTGCATGGAAGACTCGTAGCTGCGTATCAATGGCTGGAATGCGTGACACGGCCAAACAAAACAACATGATCGGCTTGTATCTGTTCTTGTCATCAATGGCTGACTCGAAGTCAGCGTACACGACGACCGGTGCTGGCATTTCGTATCGCTGGTTCGTGAATCGTAACCGAGTCTCCTCGTTCGACAACTCGTACTCTTCGCTTTCATTGACGAGTTCTCGATGTACTTGTACTTCGTGGTCATGAACGGCTTTGCGAGATCCGAAGAAGTCGTCACAGAACCTGCACTTCACGTTTCTTGCGAGATGTCTATTCTTTGCATCGTTCTGTCGTGTTATGCGATGTTTGAAATCGCTCAAGTCCTTGATGTACAGGAAGTGCTTGGGAGTACCCTTGGGTAGATTCAAGTCGTTTAAGATGCAGAAAGAGAAAGGAAGCTTTGCTTTCTCCTTACCTTTGTACACGACATCGCATGTGAATACATCGAATTGCTCCTTCGTCTTATCGGTGTATCCAGGCAAGAGTGTGACCTCGAATACATTGAGTGATACTTTCAACAATGCCTCCAATGCGGCGAATTTCTCTTCACTTCTATCAAAGAATGCATTGTCGCGAATGCCCGTTGCTTCCTCCACCTCGTGAATGGTCACTCCGAACACCTTGTACTTGTCGGGTTGCTTCCACCACTTGTTGTACACGGTTGCATCACCCATCTTGCGATTTGCAATAATCTTGTGTCCGCCTTCACTCGCCAGAATGAGGCACCGTTGCAGACATCGGTTGTCATCGATGTTCGGGTTGATTACTGTACGCCCATGGACGAACGGTGCTTGATGCTTGTATCCTATGAATGTCCGTAGAGGGAACATCTCGACATGGAAGCCGATCCACCCATAGTACACGAACCCGCTTCCCTCTGTCTCCTGTTCCTCTACACCATTTCGGTACCACTTCACGTAGTCCTTGATCCACTCGTCGATGCGTTCTCGGCGTACGATGCGGAGGTGTCCCAATCGATCATCGGTGAGGTTGAGAATCTTGGGATCTCCATCATGTGTCCACATGAGGTTGTATGCCATGATGGTGACGAAACACTGGTTGTACTCGCGCATACCAGTCATGATGAACTTCTTCACGATCTCATTGAACTCCTCGCTTTCATCGAATACGAGGTTGATCGGTTCCACTTCCTCATCGCCCTTTTCACCCGGTAGTCGAACCCACAGTCTCTTGTCATCATCGTTATTGAGGCGGAAGTCCTTCTTGGTTCGCTTCTCATTCATCTATTCCTTGTACATGTCTCCTTCCACGGTGTGATAATACGTGAGTGCATACCCGAGTGACGAGTCGATCACATCACTCAAGCGTCCCTGTGATACCTTGCGATCGAAGCGTTCGAATGCCTTATTGTGTCTCATTTCACGCCTCTTCTCCACGGTGTTCAGGTAAGCGGGTAGGTGACGTTGTCGCTTCTCACCGAAATCATGCCAGTTCCACTCATACTCGAGGTACCGCTCGTTACAAACCTTGCTTCCCACGACGAGATACTTGCGCTTTCCAGCAGGATCACTCACTCGTTTACGTGACGCGCGTTTCGGAGGCTCAGGGATACTATCACTGTCATCATAGTGTTTCTCAACTTCACGTTTACGCAACCCACGTTTTGAGGGTGCGAAAAGGGCGATATATTCATCGGGTATATTTACTCCAAACACCTTTCTCGAGAGATAGGCTCTCGAGTCAGGAATGGTCTGATCGGTGAACGTATCGCCTATCATGTAGTACTTGGCAGCCAATCGCTTCCAGGTTGGCCCACCGATTTTGATTTGTTTTCCTGTCTCAGGGTTGATAGTATATCCTACGCGTTGTGAACTCATTTATTTTAGGGTCACAAAGTTTATAAGTGAATATACACGCGCGACCAAAGTGAATTAGTTAGAAGACGACTTCGTCTCCCCTATGGTCTTCCTAGAATGGGAAAATCGCATGGCCATCCGCGTCATATTCGAATTCATCAATGTCAACGTACTCAGACTTGGACGATGAATCGTCTGAATCGTCGTTTGCGAACATCTTGTTGATGTCTGGGTCGTTATCGTGCGCTTCTGCTTCTTCTTTTGTCATCTTCACCCATTGTCCTTTCACATGTCTGTAATTGTCTCGGATCAACTCATTGAATGCTGTGCCACCAATGATCATTGAGCGATTGTTGGGTGATAACATTCTCGACTTTGGAACGTACTTCGTCGTACCCTCAGGCAATGGTTTATCGTACAAGCGATTCAATTTCTCGTCGTACTTGTATCCACGCTTGAGAAGGTTCCAGAAGCGAACTCCGTTGATTTGAATTTCTCGTCCTGTATTGGGGTTCAATGTGTGAGTAGGTCTGTCCATTTATATATTTATATATTTATATTTTATCTTTTAGTCCTAGTTCAGACCTTGATAAAAATGAAGTACAAGAAAACAGAAAACAACACATGGTCTTCCCTGGTACGCACTTGTGAGGACGAGAATATCGAACTCGCCGATATCATCATTCATACCAAGTATCCGATCAATTCAGAGAGACTATTCGGCTTCAGTGTTCGCACCCCGCAATCGA